GTGGAACGAGGAATATTGACGCGGTGCGATTCCAGTTTCCTCGAGTCGCTGCAAGTCATGAAAGTTGAACATATGTTGCGCTAATGGCCGCTGTGTACGTAGGGCTATGCAAATAACGCTGCTCCTCAGTTAAATCGGCCATTAGAGGAACGGTACAGTTACATTTTTATTCACCTGCATATCATGATCTAAAATTAGCCCGCTACTTCTCTTACATACAAACACATACTATAACCAAAGTTTCGTGGAATTACTGAAAAATTGTATACCCGGGAGACATTTAACATCGCGATAGGTGGTTGCGTGAAATTAACGATGGAGCACAAAATTGCTCGAAATTAGAGGAATTATTTTAATAATAATGATGATAGAAAGATAAATAAGATATAATTGAATATGTATTCGCCTTTATAGCTGCCGAAACGATATGTGAATATTTAAAAGTAATCGTTAGAAGCAACAATTGTTCGTAGAATAAATTATTAAATACAGGGTGGTACAAAAAAGTATTAACACTTAAATGGAAAATTTTCTTTTCTTTGCAACTGATCGAAATTAATTGAAGTTAAAATACATTTGTTAATATGATACATTCTATTATCAGTTCTCTTTCTCTAAAAACAAGTTACTTCCTTGACTAGATACCATGTCGAGATACTGATTAATTGTACAATATATAAATAGGTCAATACTTCAATCCTTTTCTTTAGCTAAATCATATCGAAATTATATTTTCCTCAGAAATATGAGTTCACTGGTTTCGTTCGTATATGTATGAGTTCATCATCTTCAAAGGTTTAACATTTTTTATAAGTACCATTATATGTAAAATACCATGAAGTCAATCGAATTATTTCACATTTGAGTCGAAGTGAATGTACAATTTGTTCACGAACAACGGATACTCATTTAAAAATGATCCTTTTGATTAATAGTGGAAAAATATCTATCCGGATGTTTCTTGAACTCTAATTATGACACTTCTAATAACAACCAGGCGAATCTTCAACGTGAAAAATGTCGAACAGCTCGTTGAACGAGATGCAAACACAATCTAGGGGAATTACACGTGAATAATGTAACAGAGGGTTTAATAGTGTATGTTCTTCAGCGTTTTTTCGCGTCTTTCTCGCTAATCCGTGGCCTTCCACAGAATGTATAGTTTTAATTTTGTCCATGACCATTCGAACCTTTCGAAATAGAAATTTCTCTTGAATTATGCTTTTTCTTCCATGAAATTATTTTTCCTTTATTTTGAAAGGTAATGATAAAATCTGAAGTTAATTTAAAGTTTTATTATCTACCGCGTGGCATCATTGCAGGGCAAAAATTATGCATTAGTTCGAGAAGTAAATCGATGAAACTTACGGTGAGCGCAACCGCCTGAAACGTCGAGTTTTTATTAAAAGTCGCGGATACGGTTGTGTACAGTGATTTGTGTACAGAGTTTATTTGGTAGAATAATTGATCGGTTGAAATCTGCTCTGAAAGTGAATAATGATGCTTCGCGGAACGGAAATTTTCGAAAATTTGCATAAGCTTTTTCTTTGCAAATAAAATTTTAATCGGTATTTGTTGTTGTCGAAAATATCGGTGAAAATTGAAAAGAAAGTTTAACCAGTATCGAGGAAAATTGGTAAGTTTTATGAACCGAAATTTTTGCTTATTTCCAAAAAGAAAGAAATTAGAAATTCTGCACATGTACGTTGTGAAAATTTTTGATAATTTCCAAAAGGAACAAATTAGAAACATCACAAAAATACGCGCCGTGAAAATTTTTAAACACTCAGTGTTGTAAAGGAATCGCGAAAATTAGAAAATTGGAAGATTTAATTGAGAATTCTTTTTGCCGAGATTGTGATCATCTTGTTGCTTTCTGCTTTCTTTCGCGAATCTTTCCATTTCCGATATATCGAAGCGGGAGAGGGGTTTTCTCGTCCTCAGAGGGGGTATTTTACAAACAACCTTATCATTGTCGAGTAGTCGAGGAAATGGGTCACACGTAAAACTAATATTCTCCTGTATAGGGGCATAAAATCTCGGTGTAGGCTCGTAAGACTGCTGGATTTCCTATAACAGGCCCATGCGTTGAGCACACTTAAGAAAATGATACTCTCAGTTCTTCTTCTTCGATGATCTAATTCAAACGAGCACCGACTTTTTACGAATTTTTTACGAAGGGATAAAACAACAAAAAATTACTACAAATTACTAGACTCGAACCTAAATTACTGGAAATTGCAGCAAAAATTAGTCGATACTGGTCTCTCCCTTTAATTCAACGATGCAATGACGCGAATTTCGTGGTCACCTCTTCTGAAACACGGGGTTAAAATGAACGCCTCGTGGAAACAGGGTTTAATGTTCCGTTGAAGACTGAGAAAGGGCTCGATGCTTGCGGAAAATCGAGGAAAGTCTTTTGAGGGTCAGTGTAAACGGTGGCTGAACGAAAGGCGGATCCGTCGTCGATTTCCGAGCATATGGAAAAAGTAGGTTGAGCGGCACTCGGCCTCGAGGACCGCCTAGTTTTTGTCAGAATCGATTTGTCGAGAAGGCGTACACGGATCGCGGACAGAGAGACGCTGCACGAGTGTCTTCCCTAGGAATCGTGTGATCTGTTCTTATCAGACGCGTCGTCGACACCTTGCTCAGCTTATACGGGCACCGAAAGACAAATACTGGGAGGCATTCAAGAGGAAAAGAACGGTCTGAATAGGTGTACTCGGAGATTTGTATGTTGTATTACGTTTAATAGGAAGTAATTATTCAGGCTGCGTGTGTGAAAATTGTTATCAAATTTCTTATCCTGAAGAAGAAGTTACATCCTTGAAGTGTTTTGACAGTTTTTTTGAAACACGCTGTATGTTGTACTATCTTCAATGAGAATTAATTTAAGTCGGATGAGTGAAAATTAATTGTTATCAGTTCTGTTTTCTGTGAAAAATCTACTTCCATATAAACGTTGACACTTTTTTTTTTTTTTTTTGGAACATCTTGTATATTGTGCTACGTTCAACAAGAATTATTTTAGGCTCGGTGGGTAAAAATGAATTGTTATCAGTTTTGTTTCTCTGAAAAAGTTACTTCGACGTGTAACTTGCAAGTATTGGCGCCATTGTTCGGACAGAAAGAGAATCGACGTGGCGCGTTCATCACGAGTTCTGTTTACTCGCGACCGAATGAAAATTGCAAGCTCATTGCTCGCCAGAGGGAAATGGAGGCGGTTCTCGCG